GGCTAAATGATGATCTGTGCCATAAAACATACGTAGTACTACGTATCATTTTGGCCTCAAATGATATAAGTAATAAATGATAACTTATACTTCTATGCTCTTACAAATAATTACACCATGTTGAATTTTATGCTATCCACATGATTATGGTTTGATATTTTATGTATTAGTTAATTAGATTTTTTTTAAATAGTCTCATTTTAAATTTTCAAAACATAACTTTCATGATTGTAAACTAACAGTGAATTAAATATTTTAATAGTCAAAGTTATGCATTGACACATCTATAAATGGAAGTGTTACAACAAAAAATGAACAGGAAAAACATTTAGTAGAAGTTTTTTCATAAAAAATAGTCAAGTAAAACTTTATTTGCAAAAATGTAATTGAAATTACTATGAATATAACATAATGGACACCACAGTGTAAGTTTGGGCACAATAATCACTAAAAGTTACTAATTTCGTACCTTTTTATGGAGTGGAAAACATCTATCCAATATTGCCTAAAATGTTAAAAAATGTTACGTATAATTTTATGCAATGAGACCTGAAGTAACACATACGGAGTATAAAAGTGTTATAAAAGGCTTGTTTTGTTGTAGTGTCCTTTTTTACGGTTATTAGAATCTTTTTATTTGTTCTATGACTTTTATGTAAAATATATCAAATTGAATAATTCCGTAAGATCTACATATGACACCAATAGTAGACATGTAAAGTTAAAAAATCCCAATAAAAATTATGGTAATTAAACAACTAATCAAAATTAAGTTTTTATTATAAAATATCATAAAAAATTATTTAATTTGATATTCTTATTGTAGAATTGGATTATGAACAAAACATTATAACAAGTACAACAAATAAAATAATTGTGTGGCACATTGTAAGCAACTATTGGATAGAGGAAGATGGTCATGTTCACTCTCACGGAGGAGGGTGAACAAAAAGCCACTCTATTTATGTGTGTTGCTTTGCTTTGAATAGTAAAATATGTGGTTGAGATTTGAGGAGAATAAAGTATAACGATATAACATATTTTTTCAATAATGGAAACATGTCATTTGTTAGATATGTCAAAAAGGAGAATAAAACATATTAATGGGATGTAGGAGTACTGATAAAGTCGTTATTGTCTAAAAGGTCACATTTTCCGATAAAATTTATTTTAGTCACACAAGAATATATTTTCTAAAATAAAGATGTCAAACATAAATTCGATATCTTACGCATAATGACTACATTAATAATTTGGGAAAATGGTCAAATAAGCCTCGTACTGTATCAGAAAAATCAATTGCGCTCTCGTACTTTGAAAACACCCAACTGAAACCCTAAACTTCTAAAATATATTTGATGTGGTTATGGGACTTGGCCCAGAGCCTAATCGGCCCAGGCCCCAAACTTGGACCAGCAGGCCCAAGCCCAGCAACCCAGAGCTTGAGTCGGCCCAACCGATCAAGTCAATCAAGGAGCGGAAGCCCAAGAGAGCCTGTCGACCAGCCCAGTGAGGAGCCTGCCCACCAGCCCAGCCAACGGGGAGCCTGCCTTCCAGCCCAGCGGAGAGCCTGCCTACCGGCCCAACCGGAAGCCCAAGAGAGCCTGCCTCCCAGCCCGGTGGGGAGCCTGCCGACCAGCCCAGCTGGGAGCCTGCCCTCCAGCCCGACCAACGGGGAGCCTGCCTTCCGGCCCGGACAGCAGCCTGCCTCCAGCCCAACGGAGAGCCTGCCTTCCAGCCTACCCGGGAGCCTGCCTCCAGCCCGGTCAGAAGCCTTCCTCCAGCCTAGCGGGGAGCCCACCGTCTAGTTCAGCAGAAGGGAGCTCAAGCGTTCAGCCTGCCAGCCAGGCCGACCTGCCAGCCAGGAACTATAACGGCCAAAGTAATTAATGCGTGACTTAATTATGTATTTAATTCCGTATTAATGTTGTAATTAGTTAGCCATTAGTATCTTTGGCAGTTACCATTTGTAATCGCCTATAAAAGGCATGTTCGAGTCAAATAATAGATATGCTATTTCTGGCAACTAAATCTCGTAGCTACTTTCCATTCTCGTTCTTGCTTTCCTAATTCCTACTTGAGTGTCGTACGTAGCTTTCCTAAAAGCCTACGAGCGTCCTATTTTGGACCAACATTGGTGCTTTCATTGAGAGCCTCTATTGTCTCTCACATCACTTGAGTAGGAATCACATAGGAAGATGGACGGAATCTCGTCTCGACGTGACCATGTCTCAGTCCACACCGAGGAGTCCACCCGGTCTGGCCGCCAGCGTGCCCTCGACAACCATGTACAGGGCAGGAGGGCGGCGCGCCAAGGCGACCTTCGGAACCAATTATCAGGCCACGACGACCTAAGGGCGACGCTCAACCACACCCAAGGTGAGCGCTCGGTCCACAACCGGGAGGGGGGGGGGGGGGGAGGCCGACGTCATGCTCCGCGCATGGACCCGACTCGACTCAATGCCGGGGTGGAAGCCCTACAGGAGGCAACTCGGGTTATGGGGACCTTGGCTCAAAGTTTTCAACAGATGGTGTCTGGCAGAAATGTGGATGAGCCTGCCCGTCAAGAGACGCCAACGGATGTGGAGGTGTCCTCCAGGCGGCGTGATGAGCGACGCTCTGGATCCAACCAAAACAAGGGGGAAGAAGTCTCCCAGCAGCTTAGCCGACCCCATCGGCAGGTGGGGAGGGGCGTCCAATGGAGATGGAAGGAGGCGAGCCCTCTCGCCACTCTCATCAGGCGAGCAGTCGGACTGGCTCCATGGAGAGGCAAAACGTGGGGCACCGACCTCACGTGCACGGACGACTTGGAGGTGCCGCCGGACATGCCCAGCCCCGCGCTGGGGCTGTCCGGGGGAACCCACCGCCGGCCGAGGTGGAAGATCTCCGACAGCGCCTGGAAGAGTTGAGAAGAAGGGTCGTCGGAGGGGAGCCCTACACGGCCGACCTCCGGATACCCGAACCTTTCACCTGGGCGGTCATGGATGCGCCATTGCCCAGGGGCTACAAGCCCCGCGCCATCGAAGCCTACAAGGGCGCTTCTGACCCCCAGCATCATGTATCTCGACACCTTTCCTACATGGTCATGATGGGGTACGAGGACGCCATCCGATGCCGCGGTTTCCCCGCCACTTTGGATGACCCGGCTCGTGAATGGTATGACTCTCTACGTGACGGGAGTATCACGAATTTTCATGAGTTGGCTGAGCGCTTTCTCTTGAGGTTCGCGAGCTCCCGAGACGTCAAGAAAAACTTCAGCAACCTGTTCAGCCTAAAACAGGGAAAGAAGGAATCATTGTCGACCTTCCTAGCCAGGTGGAGGGCCAAGTCAGTCAAGGTCCAGGGCCTTGATGACAGGACCGGGGTGGCCATGCTCACAAACTCTATCCGATCGGGCGAGCTTCACAAAGATTTCGTCAAAAGTCCCCCTACCTCGTACGAGGAGGCGCTTGGCCGTGCCGACCGGCAAGCCGAGGCGGAGGAAGCCTTGCAGAGGAAAAGAAAAGGAAAGAAAAGAAAAGAAAGGAAGGAAAAGAAAAGAAAAGAGAGAGAGAAAAAGGAAAGATAAAATAAATTCCAAAAATAATTTATAAAATTATGAATTTCAGGAATTTTTGAGAGTTGATCTGGATTTGAAGTCTGGGAGAAAGCTGACTACTGGATTACTAGGATGCTGAAGGAATTAATTTGGAAATCTCCATAAATTATGAGATTAACAGAATCCACAATTATGGCTCACTGGTATGTGAAAATCTTTTAATTGACAGCTGACTTGAACTACTCCCTCTTAGCCGAGTCTACTACCCGACTAAGGGAGTGGGGGACTCGTGATGGGGTTATGGGACTAGGCCCAGAGCCTAATCGGCCCAGGCCCCGAACTTGGACCAGCAGGCCCAAGCCCAGCAACCCAGAGCTTGAGTCGGCCCAACCGATCAGGTGAATAAGGAAGCGGAAGTCCAAGAGAGCCTGTCGACCAGCCCAGCGGGGAGCCTGCCCTCCAGCCCAGCCAACGGGGAGCCTGCCTTCCAGCCCAGCGGAGAGCCTGCCTACCGGCCCAACCGGAAGCCCAAGAGAGCCTGCCTCCCAGCCCGGTGGGGAGCCTGCCGACCAGCCCATCTGGGAGCCTGCCCTCCCGCCCGGCCAACGGGGAGCCTACCTTCCAGCCCGGCCAGTAGCATGCCTCCAGCCCAACGGGGAGCCTGCCTTCCAGCCTACCCGGGAGCCTGCCTCCGACCCGGTCAGAAGTCTTCCTCCAGCCTAGCGGGAAGCTCACCGTCCAGTCCAGCAGGAGGGAGCTCAAACGTCCAGCCTGCCAGCCAGGCTGACCTGCCAACCAGAAAGAGTAACTGTCAACAATCAATGCGATATTAATTATGTATTTAATTCCGTATTAATGTTGTAATTAATTGATCATTATTGTATTCGGCAGTTACCATTTGTAATCGCCTATAAAAGGCAAGTTCGATTCAAATAATAGACAAGCTATTCTTGGCTACCAAATACTTTTAGCTTCTTTCCTTATTTGCATTATTTTCCTGATTTCCTGCTTGAATGTCGTACGTAGCTTTCCTAAAAGCCTACGAGCGTCCTATTTTGGACCAACAATATTCAATTGAGCTCTTTAGAAGGTAAAGAACCGGTTTCCTAGTTAATTGCACGCTAAGTAGAGCTGAGATCGTTGGATTTGTTCGCATCTCAGAAAATCTCGAACGAACTTGCAATATTTTCCGCGTGTTACCGGTAGCTATGAGTTTCTAATTTGGTTAATAGTTGGTTGTTTATATATGGGCTCTTTTTGAAAACAAAATATTAGGTGGCTTTGTATTGAAATAGGAATTTAAGATTGTAAAAAGTGGTATGATGAGGTAGTTGACATTTGTTCAAAGAAAATATTAGGTTGCGAAAATTTCCCTAAAAAGTTTAAATGAACGTTTATTATGTTTAGTGGTTCAATTGTGTTTTTTCAAAGCATGATGATCAAATTGATGAGGCATATTTGATAGATCTTTCCCTAATAATTTGAATGACTAGTCGATATCTATTCTATTATTCGATTATCACACTAGATAATCGTATTTTGTTAACAAATCGTATATACCTTCAGAAAAACTACCCATTACTGTAAAATAAACTCTGTTTTTTTAAAGTTGTAAAAACATCTTTATTGTTCCTTTAGACAAATACCCATTTTAATGATCACACCTTTTGAATTTACATCCAGCCCCTTTTATTCAAAGAAATTGGTGCTATAGAGAGGGAATAACTTAACCAGTCACCACTCGTCTTCTGATCTGGACGATTCTGGCAATGGCAATTCTTCTTGGTGGAGTAAGATCAAAACTTCAAATCGTCATCATACTCTGCTATAGTTCCATTCTTCAGTTTTCTGCAGCAGGTAGGTTGACTTCATTGCTTCAGAATCACTGCCGTGCTCATACTTGCTTTAATTTTGTTGGTCTGATCATCCCCAAATTCGTTTATTTGATTTTGATGCATAAGAATATTTGCATTTGTGTAAAGTACACTGGTGCCTTAAAACTTTGTCACGTTTTATAGCGATTAATAAAGTAAAAATTGTGTAGTTGAAATTTGTGCAAAAGAGAGAGAATTAACTGGAACTATAAATTCTTACTTAAATGAGAAAGTAACAAAGATAGTGGGACATCTAAAAATGGAAAGTTAGCAAAATTTTAAGGGACACATGAAGAATATTAAAGTGGGTCGTACAAATAATCTCTTTAGGAAAAAATTACACGAATTTGTCATGAATTTTTAAACCTAGTAATTTAAGAGCCTATTTGGCAAATACTCAAATTTGCTGTATTGGGTGATTTTGTTGAAATTTATGAAGCTCTTGTCAAAGTGGTTGGATTGGCTGATTCTCCTTATTTATGAAAAAATGTACTCCCTCCATTCCAAATTGTTTTGCAAAGTTAACATTTTTTGGTCAATCAATAATAAAAGTCAATCCTCCCAAACGATATTTAACTCATTTTTTAATAATTAAAATTTACATATTCAGAAACTACATTAAAATCTTTTCAAAGTTGCAAACTACGAATTAGAATATAATTAAAAATTGACATCCTAATTAAGAAAATAAAATGAAATCGTATGACCAAGAAAAGTCAAGTTTGCAAATCAATTTGGGACGGAGGTAGTATTATATTAATAAAATATAGAAAAAAAATTATGAAGAAACAACTAAAATGATACTCTACAATAACTTCAACCAGTACAGTCAGAAAAGAAATTGCAATCTTATCTTTTCTTATCATTATACTCCTTTCGTTCTATTGGACTTTGCCAACTTTCCTTTTTTAGTTGCCCCAAAATTAAAAACTTTGTCACTTTCTTATTCCTCATCTACTATGCACTTGACAAAGTCCACCGGGAGGATGTGATACAATTTAACGCGTAAAATCAAAAGTTCCTTATTTGGTGGAAAAGTTGGTTGATAAGCCGAAAAACATGATCATCAAATGTGCTCTGAATAAAATTAAATTTTGGGGTGAGCCAGAGCATAGATTGCTCCCTAACTACGATCCTAGCTAGCACATAAATCAATTGTGTGGGAACGCACACTAACGAGTATGACAAAGATTAGTTGTTTGTATGAAGAGTTTGGCCTTGTTAGGGTAAATGTTTGGAAAAATTAGTTGATTAAGAATAGTTAGAAAGTAAAAAGACCTAAGGACATTATTATATAGTTCGTATTTATTATCATTTTTTGGCAAATTCGTATTTGTTATTTTTAGTTATTGTTTATAACAACACTTTGATTGGAACTGGAACAACTTGAAATGAAATGCTGAAACAAAAAAAAACACTGGTAAATGATTTGCAAATTGACACTAATGTGTAGACATCACAAGAATTGACAGAAATGAATAATAAAAAAAATACCATTGAAGATTGACATCAAATTAAAGTCTTCATATTTTAGATCTTAGATTGATAATTTCAATCACTCGGACCTTATATAGATAATTTTCGTCAATCAGATTCTTGATATTTAACCTATCTTCCAGATCCTTGATATTTGGTAAATAAAAACATATAAACACTAAAATCTTGTACATTGGAATATGATTTATATGCATAACGGCATGGCAGAAGCAGCAAATGTTACACTGGAATCGATTCAAATATTCACGACTCATGAGGCTTTGGGGATTACTCCGACAGTTTACTTTGCGTGCAAGGATCAAAACAAGACAATGCTTGCTAGTGTACAAGAAATAAACATCATCTATAATAGCTCCACGCTGCCTACTCAGGTGTGTATGCATGTACGTTCATTATTTAGTTACCACTTCTCCATCTCTCATTTTCTTCTAACTTTACTGCAACCGAGGACATTCAGAATAATAAAATAAAAATTATGTAGTTGAAAATTACACGGATAAGACGAGAGTAACTATAATTATGGACTCGTTTTAATTTAACAAAAGTAGTGGAACAGCAAAAGTTATAAGGGGTAGACGAGATAATTAATTAGATCTAAAGCTACCAGGCCACTTAATTTTGTGTGGATGAAAAATAACATGCGAGTATTCAATTTAACTAAATCAAAATTTTTAGTATGGTTTTCATAAAAAAGACATGTAGAGATTATACCTCCTTACTAATAAATTAAAGTATGATGATTCATTTTCATAACACATACTCAGTAATTATTAAAATACAATAGATTTTGTTAAAAGTGCAATAAAAATGTTGGTCTGAATCGGGCCCTGGTCTAATCCCAGTCTACTAATACTCTAGCTCTAGTTAGCCATTAGATCGGGATATATTGGATGGGCTGTCATTGACTTTAGCTATCAATAAATGGAGTAACATTTATGATGTTTTTACTTAGGACCATAATTTGTTGGTCTGGTCTGGTCTATTCTGATCTGAGCTGGTCTGGTCTGGTCTGGTTTCTTTGTATTTTTATAACTATCCAAGCCTGGTCTGAACTGGTCTGGTCTGATCTGATCTGATTTGGTCTGGTCTGGGAGGAATTACAGTCCAAGTAAAAACATCCTTATACGTACGGTATGTCAGTAATTGAAAAAAATATTAATTAAAAAAAGGATGACACCCCATCCATGAGGGCCTCCGAACACCGACCGGACAGTACGTTGGGAGCATATAAATTGGACTATGATTACAATCTGACAGATAGAGAGTGTGGCTCTGTCCCCGATACTTGCAGAGGCTCTATGCATTTTTAGCATAGTAACCTCTCAACGCAGTTGCTGGGATTCGAACTCGGGACTTAACCCTTGTGACACTCCCTCGCTACGAGTTGAGCTACGCCCACCGGTAAAAAAATCCGTGATAAATTAGATACTGAAATAGTTGAGAATGGTAACATAGCTTATCAAAATCTACGATAAACAACCCATTTCGTAATATCGAAATTGACTTAATCGATTGATTATGCAGAAATTTATGAAATTCTGAATGAAGTAGTTGCATTGACAGATTCTGTCGATTATGAAAAAATTATATTCAAAATATATTTTATTAATAAAATAAAGAAAAACTTATATGAAAAATAGCTAAATTGGTCCTCATCTACAAACTACAATAACTTCAGATCATTCAAACAGTATTTCTAATCTTACTTATTTTGTTTAGTGAAAAAGTAAATCCACAACTTTGATAAGCCAAAAAAGAGTCAATGCAACTCAAATTTGTAATTAGTAGTACGGTAAGAATGATGGTAACAATGGTGTTGATATTATTTTCAGGGTGTCACGCAATTTATAGATGGCAATGATTGTAAGACGTGTGGGTTGTATGAAGAAGACACGTTTACTCCTGATGACGTTTTTGGTGAGTGGGAATTTTGCCTTTCCAATTTTACAAGTGGAGAATGCTCCTATTATGTGGAGAAGCAGTTCAACGCAACATTTTTGTGTCAGCAATGTGCCACTCTTCCTTTAAATGGTGGTGAGTTTACTACATCAATATACGAAGTATATCTCTTTCGATTTTCAGCTTTGATAGATCCCCCATCAATGTCTCACCATACAATATATTCTTCTCAATTGGAATTTGGAATCGATCCTCAAGGATATGTTTGGAAGTTTGAAGAAAAAAGAAGAGGAAGGGTTTGAAGGTTAATTGTGGAAAGGGAAGGGGCGGAAAGGATGTGAGACCCTTCTTCTTGTTTAGGAGTATTAAGTTTGAAAACATAAAAGTTTTGGATGAATTATAATTAATATCACTTCACACTATGACGAATTCAAATACTTGAGTTTATATTATTGAAAATTGAACTAAAGTTGTCATTTAATTAGTTATCCTTCAAAATCTTCCAAATTGATAGAACATGAAAATTGAGCATTTGAAGGATTTTGAAGGGTTACAAAACCCCTCCAAAACCATCTTCTCCATATTTTTTAACTCCCAAACATGAAAGGAAGAGACATAAACCCTTGTAAATCATCCTCTACTCTTCGGAACCCAACTCTAAAACTTACCATAAGGAGAATATATATGTTTGAGTCATGGGAAAATTATTTTGCTATGCTTTGGTTTAACCATGAAAATCAAAATGAATTTTGAGTTTTTTTAAAAGCAAAAATGAAAATCAAGTTGTTACCAATTTGGTAAATTAATTGGGTCTGATAAGCTTTACTAGCCTGATTCTTTTCACCAATCATGTTGGTGGAATTCAGCGGGATAAACCTGCAAAAAAACATTAGAAATAATAATATAGCTCGAGTCGCGTCAACGCTATCCTCAAGAAAGTTGATGGATAGTCTACTCGGGGGTATATATCCGAAGGGTTATTACGGGGAATCACTTAGAGAGAAGTCAGAGCAAGTAAGTAAAAGTAGAGAGAGAGAGAGTGTATTCAGTATGAATGCCGTTTTCAGCGTGGTTACAAATGGGGAAATGGGGTGCTATTTATAGTAGCAATAAATGCCGGACAGGGACACGTGTCAAGCGCTCATTGGCCGAGGGGTCACCTCAACTGGTTGGCGCTGGCAGTCGCATGTGGCCGCATTTAATGCGGCTGTTGGATGGGACGTCTGTGCAGGGTACGGTGATCTGTACGCATGTGAGGCGGATATCTTGTCGAGTGAGATGCCTTCGGCCATAGAGCAGTAGCCGAAGGCTCCTCCAACCGAGGGCACCTTGGTGCCGAGGGCTCACAGTACCGAGGGCTACTGTTTTCGCCGTTTTCTCCCAGTTTCTTAGTTTGCTTGAGAAACCCGTTCTGTGAGGGTTTAGACCCTTCGGCCAGGGGCCGAAGGCACCCCTGGCGCGTAGTGCGGGCTGCTTGGTACTCTGGGCGCTGTGATTTGGGCCTGTCGGGCCTTTTGGGCCTGTTGGGCCTTCGCTGGAGTAGTAGGAGTCTGTGGGCCGGGGGTTCCCGGGCCATATACTCCATCAGGAGTCCCTCACTCCTTTTGCCGAAAGGTACTTGAGGGAAAAGGAGTAATTTGTGCTTGCCCTTTGATGTTGTCCCGTCGTGATCTCTGAAGTTGGTGAGGAGTTGTTGCTTTTATGTCCCTGCCGAAGGCAGTCCCTCAGTTACCCACATGTCGGGACTTGAGGGCTTGCCTTTTCGTTTGTTGGAATTTCACTGATTTTGTAATTTAATGATTTTCCCGAGGGGGTCCTCCAGTCCCCCACTCCTTGAGGCACTTTGTAAAGTGGTGAAAAGGAGTAGAGTAGTTGCGTTGCTGTTGTGGGCCGAAGGCTGACGTTTTTTCGTTTCATTTTGGGTGGATGCCTCGTTAAAAACCTCATTAGGAAAAACCCTTTGGGAAAAAATCCTAATGAGGGAAAAAGAGTGCACCGAATTCCCCCAATGATGAATCGAAAATGTCAAACCTTGGTAAAAAATGGAGAATGACGGGAATGCCGAAGGCTCTCTCTTCTGAGGGCTCCTGTGTTGATTAACCGAAGGCTTGCTGTTGATGTCCTGGTGGCGCCGAAGGGGAGCCCCTCAATTCGGGGATCGAGGGCCTGCTGGATGAGGGCGGCAATGGAGTTGTTACCGGGGGGTCCACTGTTTATTGATTAGTTGGTGATGAAGATACCCGATGGCTCCCATTACCTGTGTGCCATGGGCCATCCGTCAATGAGGCAACTCCCGGGGGCTACCCGGTTTTGCAGTGCTGAGGGGGAATCCCCCGAGGGGTGCCCTAATATGAAGCCTTGAGTTTCTGTGTGGGGCACATCCTGGGGGCGTCTCTGGGTAAGTGTATCCGGAGGCTCTCCTTGATGTAGCGGAGTGCAGTAGAAAACCCGGGGGCTTCCAGAATATAGCCGTTGGAAATATAGCCGTTGGAATACGTAACGTCAGAATATAGCCGTTGAGGGGGGGGGGGGGGGACACGTGGCGCGTGATGGCTGGCTGTCCGTGGGCGGCATCACTGGTTGGGTGAGGACGCGGTGTGTAATGATGGCGGTCCATCCGGAGGCCCGGAATCCAGGCCCAAGCCCGGATTCCGTCGCCTATAAATACCCCAAGGCCAGGGCCATTCCCCGCTGTGTGAACTCAGTGTAGCGAAGCTCTGGCAAAAATTCTAGAGAGAGAAACTCCAGCCTTCGGTAACAACTCAGCTTTCAAGGTCAGTTCCCCCCCCGCCTTTCTCCTTCTAGTCTAGCTGTGCATTGTGCCCCTAGTTTAGGAGATAGAATTTCGTAGGAAACCTTAGTTTTCCCGAGCCTTCGAATTAGTGAGCAGATGTCATCACAGAGCGACTCCCAGGATATCTCGGGGGAGCCTTCGGTAGAGATGGAGACATGCTCAGATGTGGAGTCTTCGAGTGTGGAGTCCTCGGCAGGTGGTGATGCCGCAGTGGCCATGGAAGTGGAGAAGGACCTCCAGGCCGAAGTCGAAGCCGAGGGCTTCGAGCAAGAAAACGAGGATGAAGAGCTTGCCCTCGCCGTGCAAACCGCCGAGCAGGAAGAGGAGAGGGAGAGGCTGAAGGTGACGGTTGCCATTCCTCCCCCCCCCCCCCCCCCCCCCGTGGTGCCGGGGAAGCCAGCTCCTCCCGGCCATTGGACCCGACGCCCATAAGTGTGGCTCCCGGGAAGAAACACAAGACGAAGGCTGCCCCGAGGAAGAAGCAAGCGGCAGTGGATGCCGGGCGGCCGGTGGGCATACCCGAGGGCCATTCTTTCTTGAATACTGCTGCTCTAGAGCTGAAGACGAAGGCGTCCCCGGCAGAATACCAGTCCACCCAGATGCTGGTTGGACCTTCGGTGCGCGTGGTGGAGGCCAGGGCGGATGATTTGCTGCGATACGCGCCCGAGGGGTGCTTTGCTGCTCACACCCTCTCGGTGGAGATGGGGCTCCGGTTCCCGCTCCATCCTTTTCTCTTGGAGTATCTGAGATTTGTGGGGTTGGCCCCTTGCCAGCTAACGCCCAACAGCCACTCCTATGTGGCCGGCTTCCTCTCCTTGTGTCAGAGCCGGGGGGTCGAGCCCACACTCGATCAATTCTTCATGTCCTTCAACCTTTGCCGGGGGGGGACATTCAAATGCTGAGGGCTTTGCCAACCTTCAGCAGGTACCGGAGTTCCGGCTTTTTGATGATGTGCCCTCGTCTCACAAGGGGTGGAAAGAGAGGTTCTGCTATATCCGCCTCGAGGAGAACCCCTTCCCGGCCCAGCTCCGTAATAGCTTCCGGCGCCATCCGAAGGTGGGGAGCGCAGCTTTGGAAAAGAATGGCAAAGTGCTTGCCAAGAAGCCGGAGGGGTCTGACAAGCATGTCAAGATCAGAGAAGTTACTCTTCCGGAGGATTTGCTTAACCTGGGCTTCCGGCAGTTCAGGCCGAGGGGCTCTTCGGATGAAAGATACCCTCCCCTCGATACGGTCTTCGAAGGCGCCGGAGGTGATCACCGAATTGTTCACTGATGCGTTGATAGTTCTCTCTTATTCCGCCCCCTTTTTTTTATGACGTAGTAACTGGTAGCCTTCGATCTAACCCTCCTATTTTTTTGTTGTTGCTTGCAGGTAACAATATGGACGTTGGTTCCCTCTTCGCTTTGAAAAACGCGAAAGGGAAGAAGAAGGCCCCGACGGGCGCTTCTGCCAGGGAGGGGCCCTCTCAAACTGCTGGTGCTGCTGCTGGCGCCGGAGGGTCCAAGGGTTCTGGGCCCGTTAAGAAGAAGATTGCTGGAAAGGGGACCGAGCCCCCGGCCAAGAAGCCAAAGACCACCGCCCCTACCAAACAACCGATCACCGATGTGGTGGTGATTGTGGACGAAGGGCACGCTTCTGCCTCCACCCCTCAGGAACAAATCAATCAGGAGTTCTTTGGGCGGGAGAGGTTGGAGGCGTTAGTACCGAAGGGGGCCTCTGTGTTGGAGGGCAGCTTGAACCCTTCGGCTCTGATGAGCCAGATGCTGCCGTCGGCCGACCGACTGGCCCTTGCCCGGCTGGACGAGGGATCCCTCGAGGCGAAGGTCCTCCTGAATGCTGCCTCCGTAAGTCACCTTCCCTTCTTTGCTCATTGTTATGTTTTCCTTCTGTATTATGTTCATTATGCCTTATTCTTGCCTTCGTGAATTGCAGACATTTATGGGCCTCTGCGAGCACCTCCGAAGGGTGGATCAAATGAGGGAGGCTAAGGGTGCCGCCGAGGGGGAGGCCGCCCTCCTCAGGAAGAAGCTTGCTGAAGCCGAGGACTCTCTCCGTCTGGCCACCGACGGCATGGAGCAGAGGGTGCAGGCTGCAAGGGTCGAAGGGGTCAATGAGGGGCTAGCCAGGGCCGGGGAGGCTGCCGCCGAGGCCGCCCGTATTGCTGCCGATGAAGCCCGCGCGGCTCAAGAAGAGGCCATCTCCAAGGCCCGAGAGGATGCGGTGATCAGCTTCACGGCCGAAGGGTGGAAGGCCGAAGACCGGAGGGAGTGGCTCGCTTCGGTAGTGGGGGCTTCAGTAGACGAGTGGGTCGGGGGCCCCGGAAAGATGTGGCTTGCCGAGAGGGGCGACTCGTACTACCAAGGCGGGGAGTTCTTCACCCAACGCCTCATCTACCGGAAGCTTGCGAAGCACTTCCAGGTGGCACCGGAGGAGTTCCGTCCAGAGGCTTATGGTCTCCCCCCTCGCCAGCCAGATGTCAGGATCCCGCTCCCCGAGGGGGAAGAGAGGCCAGTTCTTGAAGACTCGAAGACCCTCCGGGAGTGCGGCCTTGGGGGTGAAGAAGATGAAGCCGAGAGCGAGGCGATGTCCACAGTACCCCCTTCTTGAATTGTAATCCCCCCTTTCGTGTTGTAATTGTTGGCCTCGGCCTCCTTTGTAACAGTGTATTTAAACTCCCTTTTTTGAATGAATGAGTACATATATGCCCTCGGGCCTTTGACATATAACATGCTTCCTTTTGATTTGTTCATTGTCGAATATATGCCTTCGTCTTGCTATGGATGTATGCCTGTGTTTCTTTGAATGTATGTTTTAGGACTTAGATTTTTTTTCTGACTGTAGCTTGCCCCTGGAAGCCTTCGGTAGTTGGGCACCCTCCGCTGGATATGCAACCGAGGGTGCAGCAGCAATTAGGACTTAGAAATTTTTCCTAAGTGTAGCACAGCATGAGGCCTTCGGGCGTTTGTAGTAACCCAAATCCTAGGACTTAGAAAAATTTCTAAGTGTAGATTTCCCCTTGAGAGCCTTCGGGATATGGCATCCCTTCCTGATGTGTGATTGTTGGACCGAGGGCCCAATGTACAGGACCTAGAAATTTTTTGCAAGTGTAGTATGCCACGTAGCCTTCGGCTACTGTGGAGCCTCAACTGAAATATTGAGTAGGCCGGGGGCCAATTCTTTAGGACTTAGGAAATTTTCTTGAATCTTGATTCCTTGTGTACTGTAGCCTTCGATTGATAGGCAGCCTTCGGCAATTAGGTCCCTTGAGATGAGGGTGAAATATGTAGGACTTAGAAAATCTTCTAAGTGTAGAGTTTCCCTTGGGAGCTTTCGGGAGATGGATTCCTTCCTGATGTATGAGTAGCTGACCGGGGGAAAAACATGTAGGACTTAGAAAATATTCTAAGTGTGGATTTTCCCTTGGGAGCCTTCGGGAGATGGCATCCCTTCTTTATGTATGGCCTTCGATTGTCATATTCCTCTAGCTGCAATACTGATTGAGCCGGGGGCCCATCTTTAGGACATAGAATTTTTTTGTTTGCAAGTGTTGTTGTATCGCATAGCCTTCGGCTATTGTATTCCCCTGGCTGTAATGTTGATTGAGCCGGGGGCCCAATTTTTAGGACTTAGAATTTTTTTTGCAAGTGTAAAGTGATGTCAAGCTTCCAGGTGTAGAGCCCTCCGGATACATGAACGGGACCCTTCGGGTGATCGTGGGCCCCTTGAGTTGTTGTGGAATCCTGTTGTTGTGAAGAAAGCCAATGATGAGTGTGTGCCCTCGGCATACACTTTAAAATTTGCAGATTTTGACCTTTGCTGAAGCCTTCGGTGTTTGTGTGACCGGAGGTGGCCAGGCAGTGGACTTAGCCGTTCCTTGCTGCTATTTGTTCGAGTAGTATCCTTCGGGAAATAGGAGCCTTCAGTTACCGGAGGTGTTCCCGGGGGGAGCCCTCGGCTTGTTGTGATCTGTTGGAGTGTACTCTTTGATTTCTCGCTGAGTCTACTCCCCTTCGCCCCCTCTTTTTTTTTTTTTTTTTTTAGGTTGGTGGTGAAGGGAAGGCATCAAGAAACTTGGTTTCTTGGTAAGGCTGGGCCTATTAGGAGACCATCAGAATACACCAATGGCTCTCCTCCCTCGGGTCAACCTTCCGAGTTCAGAGGGGATCGAGGGACGTTTCCTGGGCACAAGATATGGTGGTCCGTAACCTGCCTCCCCTTGGGGGATGGCGCGGAAAGCGCCTCATTTTTGAAAGTCGTCCCCTCGGCGCTAGACATAGTTCGTGGCCTGCCACACCCTTGGGGTGGTGGCGCGGGGAGCGTTTCGGTTTGGAAGTCGAATCCTGGGCATTTCTCATGCCTGTCATACCCTGGGGGTAGTGACGCGGATAGCGTTCCGTTTTTGAAAGTCGAATCCTGGGCATTTCTCATGCCTGTCATACCCTGGGGGTAGTGACGCGGAAAGCGTTTCAAGGAAGGGTTTTCATTTGCACACTAGTTGCAAATGGCCGGGGGCACTACGTGCCGCCGGCACCGATGGTGGCGCCTTCGATATATGCGTCCTCGTGGGGTACGGCTTTTAGAGACAACACTTGGTGTTAGTTTCGATGTGTAGCCCCCGGTACTTGGTACCGAGGGGTCTTCTGTAGGAACACTTGGTGTTCTCTTTTGTCGTAGTTGATGTAGGCGTCTACCCTCGGTACTTGGTACCGAAGGGTCTTCAAATGAAACACTTGGTGTTTCCCAACAGATGTTTGGAAGTTGATAGGAGAGCATATCCCTGGCACTGGGTGCCGAGGGGTCTTCTTTGGAACATTTGGTGTTTTTTTTTCGTTTCGATGTTTGATGATGGAGGTGTACCCTCGGCACTGGGTGCCGAAGGGTCTTCTGTAGGAACACTTGGTGTTCTCATCTTTTCGTTTTTGATGTTGAAGGTGGGGATGTACCCTCGGCACTGGAAGCCGAAGGGAAATGAAACACATGGCGTTCCTTGTTGTTGGTGATAGGAGTTCCCTCCCTCGGTACTTGGTACCGAGGGGTCTTGACTGAAAACACGTGGTGTTTTCACTGTTTGTTGTAGGTGTTGATGGTGTCCGCCCCCGGCACTTGGTGCCGGAGGGGGTTCTTCTCGTGGTGAGGCCGGGGGCCTGTAGTCAGTATGAGGGCTTGATGTCTTGAATGTATCTTCATTTTTCGAAATTGGAGGCCTTGGGCCATATGATAGTACATTCACTAGTTATGAGGGCTTGGCCGCTCTTACATTATTGATAAAATTTAACTAAATGGTGTACATTCCAGTGCCTAGGGACTTCTTTCCCATTGGGGCGTTTGAGCTTGTAGGTCCCGGGTTTGATGATGGCTGCTATGATGTAGAGGCCTTCGAATTTTGGTGCCATTTTTCCTCCCTCAGTTGGTTGGCTGGCTTCTCTCCTCCGGAGGACATAGTCCCCCACTTGAAATTCTCGGGTGCGAACTTTGGCGTCGATGTAGCTTTTAACTTGCCTTCGGTAGTTTTCTGCCCGAATGAAGGCCTGCTCCCGGCGTTTCGAAATGAGGTGGAGGTCGAGGGCCATGTTGCTGTCGTTGACCTCAGGATCATATTGGATCACCCTTCGGGTAGGAAGGGTGACTTCCGTAGGAGCTTTGGCTTCAAAACCGTAGCAGAGGGAGAAGGGTGTTTCTCCTGTTGCTCGCCGAGGGGTGGTGCGGTAGGCCCAAAGGATGTTGTGGAGTTCTTCCACCCAGCCACCACCCTCGGCCTCCAGCTTCTTTTTGAGGCCCTCGAGCAAGGTCCGGTTGGCATTCTCTACTTGCCCGTTGCCTTGAGGGTAGGCAACGGAGGAGAAGGTGTGTTTGATGCCCCATGCCTCCAGAAGGGCACAGAAGGGGGCTGCCTCAAATTGTGTCCCATTGTCGGAGATGATCTGCTGGGGAACGCCAAACCTTGTGAGGATGTTCTTGAGGACGAAGTGACGGCACTTCGCCTCTGTGATGCTGGCGAGGGGTTCAGCCTCCACCCACTTGGTAAAGTAGTCGACGGCCACGATGATGTATCTGTTGTTGGAGGTACCCCTCGGCAGAGGGCCCACAAGGTCCATCCCCCATCGAGAAAAGGGGACAGAGGTGCCGATGGGGGCATAGTTGACCGCTGGCCTGCCGGGAGCTTTCTGGAAATGTTGATATGCGGTGCACCTTCAGGCAAGGTCAGCACAATCCCTGGCCATGGTTGGCCAGAAGTAGCCCTGGAGAATGAGCCTTCGGGACATGGAGAAGGGTCCCTGGTGAGCTGAGCAAGTGCCACTGTGCACTTCCTCCATTGCGACCTCGGCTTCATCTGGATGAAGGCACCGAAGTAGCGTGCCATTGTAAGATCGTTTGTAGAGCCTTCCATCTTCGATGGTGTAGCTAGGAGCCCTCAGCTTTGCCAGTTTAGCGCGGGCCTCATTCTCGGGTAGCTGCCCTGTGAAGATGAAGGCGGTGATATCTTGAGAGGCTTGCATGTTCATAACGGGGCTTGCAAGGATGCTTGAGAGGCTGAGTTCCTCGATTTTGGTAATTTTGGAGATGTGCTCGGGGGAGTCGGCCGGGAGCTTAGATAATATGTCGGCCTCGGAGTTCTGAGCCCTCGGTATTTGAGTGAGAGAGTGCGCCTCAAATACCTTAAGCAACTCCTTGTCCGCTTCCTTGTACTGTTTCATTCTCCCCTCCTTGGCCTCATATTCCTCGGAGATTTGGCCAACGACCAACTTGGAGTCGCATTTGATGTGGATCTGCCGAGCCCTCATGTTGGCAGCCAGCCGAAGGCCACATAGGAGGGCCTCATATTCGGCCTCGTTGTTGGAGACTTTGAAGGAGAAGCGGATTGCATAGTAGGCTCTGAAGCCCTCGGGAGTAATGAGGACTACCCCTCCCCCGCATGCTTTGGTCGCGGAGGAGCCGTCGGTGTAGAGGGTCCACCAGTCGTCCGAGGTAGCCGAGGGCTCCCCGTCCGTGGCTGCCCTTGCGGTACACTCCGTCACAAAGTCCGCCAGGGCTTGGCCTTGGACGGATGTCAATGTTGTACTGGCTCAAGAAGATAGCCCATTTCACCATGCGGGAGGAGCTGATGGGGCTCCTCATGAGGGCGCCGAGAGGTTGGTGAGTGAGGACCTGAACCGGGTGAGCCTGAAAGTAGTGGCCCAACTTCTTGACAGTCCAAACGATGGATAACACCGTTTTTTCCACAGGGGAGTACCTGAGTTCGGCCTCCCTTAGGGTCTTGCTAACGTAGAAGATGGCATGTTGGATGCCGTCTTCGTCCCGGATGAGCACAGAGCTGATGGCCGCCGGGCTGACCCCAAGGTAGAGGTAGAGGGTCTCCCCTACCTTGGGTTTGGAGAGCACAGGAGGTGAAGATAGATATCGTTTGAGCTCGTCGAAAGCCCCCTGGCATTCTGGAGTCCATAGAAAACCAGCCGTCTTCCTCATGATCTGGAAGAAGGGCAGAGACTTCTCCGCCGATTTAGATAGAAAGCGGTTGAGGGCTGCCAGGCGGCCCGTCAACCGTTGGACTTCCTTCACATTGCGTGGGGGTTCCATGTTGATGATGGCCTGGATCTTCTCGTGATTGGCCTCAATACCCCTTCGGCTCACCATGTAGCCCAAGAATTTGCCTCCTTGGACGCCGAAGGTGCACTTCTTCGGGTTTAGCCGAAGGTTGAATTTTTGCATGATGGCGAAGATTTCCCGGAGG